AAGAAATGACAATCCAAATTCAATCCAAATAAGCTCGGACTGGATCAGATTTTAAATTTGGTTTCGGATTAATCGGTTTGGATATTTTTGATTTTTGATTTTGGGCTTATAAGTTGAGATGCTTCTTCTTTTTACAAAAATGAATTATCCAAATGAAGTACTCATATTAAATTGCATGAAAAGTTCCCCATTCTCACTGCAATCATCCAGATAAATATTCAAGTAATGAAATTATTATCAAGAAAATGTAATAGAGACATTAATACGGCCGATACGAAGTAGCAATAGTAAAACCATGTCCAAAAGAAAGTATTCTCACAACAACTTAATAATTAATATTGAATATATGAGATAATATCTATTGGGTATAGTATTTGATCTTATTACTATTTGCATATGGATAATTGACTAAATATAAAGTATAAAAACTTCAGATTTTCGGATATCCAAAAAATCGAAGTATCAAATCCAAAATCCAATCCAAAATCCAAAAATAATAAAAACTAAATCCAAAATCCAATCCGTAATCCGAAAATGCAAACCAAAAATCTAAAAAATTCAGATTTCGGGTTTGCCCACACTATGACTACCCCTAGCCACTGGTAGGCCTAATGAGGATGTGTATTCTACATCGGGTCGGATTTGTTAACTCAGTACAACTATTGTAGCGGGTGGTGTCATCTGTTAGAGTTGACCTTATTCGTGTTATGATGTGTTCTATGTGTTACTCTTCTACGCCACGATGGATTGTGAGACTGTTGACTATTTACATATGATGCGGTACTATTTAGGCTTTGTGGCAGAATTCAAGCGAGATAGCTCTCAGGATGTTGAATGGTTGATTGCGCCTTGGTTATGGTCTTCTCGTTTGTGGTATAAATATAGTGATATTCGTTTCTCCGTGGTTATGGTCATGCACCTCGCGTGGTTGTTGAATATTACGCATATGGTTATGGATTGTGAGACTCATGGCTCGAGGTTGTCCAGCTGGACCGGTGTTGGGATCGGGTCATGCATCGCAGCAGGGTTATGTTGGGATATGATCTTTTGTGCTCATTTCGTATGTTTTGTTTCTCCTTTGTGAGATGGCTTCATAGCATTGCATTTCGTAGTGGTATCTATTGAGATGCGGGGCGGTTCTTTCATTTGATTCTCTTTTCATCCTTTGGGTACATCCGAGTTGTTGCTTGTTTGGTGCACGAATTGCATGGTATGTGGCTCTAAATAGGATCATTGTGCCATGTTGGTAGAGCAACTTGTACTGGATGGGGTGAGGTTATTTGACCTGGAATGAGTGTTATCGGACTCGATTAAGGTATTGTGGAAGGATAATGTCACTAGCCAGCTTAAATTTCTGGCTATGGTTCTTGTCGGGCAAGAGAGCTCCACGACTTGTTGATCTGATGAGTGGTTATGAATTTATGCGTGTTCCTCCATCATTGGCAGTGTACGAAGGTTTAGAATAAGGTTTTAATTGATATGAGGTTTGTTACCGGTACCAGGCTTGTCATTGAGCAGCTATTGTGGTCATAAGCTACTGCTATGGGTATCTTAGTTATGTGGTATATCATGTGATTACAATCTGGGTTATGACTACGGCTTGTTCAGACTTATACATCATATAGATGTGAAATTGGATCTTGTAATGGATTCCGGCTATTGGAAATTTGACTCTAAAGTTTATGGGCTAAGGTTGCAGTAAGGAACTTCAGCTAGGTTGTGTTGTCGGGCTTATATGGATTGGGATGACGTAGGATCACCCACGGGTAGGTGCATGAAGAGGTTTATACGGTGATTTGATGGCTTGGGAGAGACTCTAGGCACGTTCGAGAACGAACATATATTTAAGTGGGGGAGAATGTAACGTCCCAACCGGTTATTTTTAGAAGTTGCACTTTGTTCGGAGGTTTGAGGTTACGAATAGCTTCACATGGTATATTATGACTTGTGCGTATCATTGGTTTTGATTTTCGAGTGGTTCGGGATTGATTTGGATAAATGATTCACATTTTAGAAGCTTTAAGTTGGAAGAGTTGACCAAGTTTGACTTTTTACATATTAATCTCGGATTAGAGTTTTGATGGTTCCATTAGGTTCGTACGGTGATTTTAGACTTGGGCGTATGCCCAGAATTAAATTCGGAGGTCCGTAGGTTGATTTGGCTTATTATGCCGAGAGTTGACAATTTAAAGGTTTAGAATTTTTCTAAGTTTGACTCGGGTTTAACTTTATGTGTATCGGGTTCGGAATTTGGTTTTGGGACTTGAAATAGGTCCACTTTGCTATTTACAACTTGTCTGCAAAATTTGGTGTCATTCAGAGTTGGTTTGATAGGATTCAGATGTTAGGTTGTGATTCTAGAGGTCTTGAGTTTTCTTTGGAAATTCATGTGTTTTGAGGTCCAATTCGTGATTCTAGGTGTTATTTTGATCGCGCGCGAGTTCGTATGATATTTTTAGACTTATGTGGATGTTTGGTTGAAACCCCCGGGGCTCAGGTGAGTTTCAGATTGGTTTCCTTAGAATTTTGTGTGCTGGTGCTGGTTCCATAACATTTGCGATAAGAAGGTTGCAAATACGACCACCACAGTTGCGAATCTCTTCTCGCTTTTGCGAACCTGGGGAAGTTGGGAATTTATCGAAAATGCGATATTGGAGTCGCATTTGCGACTCTGGGGCTGTCCGCATTTGCAATATTTGGGTCGCTTTTGCTACTGCAGTGGCGTCGCATTTGCGAGGCTTTTGATCGCAATTGCGATCTTCGCTAGGTCTGTCAGGGGTTACATTTGCGATGCTTTGTCCGCATTTGCGGACGTCGCATTTGCGAATCCCATGTCGCAAATGCATTTGCGAATCCCATGTCGCAAATGCGACATCTGCAGCTTGTTTATAGCTGAGTATTTCGAGATTTAGCTTCATTTTATCACCTTTTGAGCCCTAGATTAGGTGAGAGGCGATTTTGTGGAGTGATTTTCATACCAAACTATTGGGTAAGTAATTTTTACCAATTTTCAATTATATTACATGATTATTTATGAGATTTAATATCAAATTCATAAGATTTGAAGAGAAATTTTGGGGATTTTTGACTGTTTTTTTTAAAGATTTGAGAGTCGAATTGGACTCGATTTTGAAAACAATATATATGAACTCGTGGGGGCTATGGGTAGTCGAGACCTACCCTTCAACTCGGGTTTTGACCGGACGGGTACGGGGTTGAATATTGGGGAATTGTATAAAGATCATACCTTTATTAATTGGAATTGGCTTCTCTTGCAATGTTTGATATTATTAAGTAGTTTTTGGCTAGATTTGAGCCGAGCGGAAGTGAATTTTAAAGGAAAAATTATTTTAAGTATTGATTTGGCCTAATTGAGGTAAGTATCTTTTGAAAATGATATTATTTTATGAATTTATAAATACACTGGATATTCATGCATTCAAATCTATCCAAATTCTACTATTTTTCTTGAATTACAATTTTGTTATTTATGTACTTGAAGAAATTGAAAAAAATTCAAGATAAAATTTGTATTTAAAATATTTATCATCTTTTTATTTTCTTCATGAAATATTAGATAATATGATTATATAAACCCATCAACTGATAAATATTAGTGCAACAATATGAAAAGAGACGAGTAATAATATAAATAGTAGGTTGAAAAGTTGCATAATTTGATAGATATATATCCATTGGAGAATATTTTGGCCGACCAAGAAACGTTGCTATGGTACAAAATTTTATTTATATATTGTTCGTAACAATTATCACCGTTTGTGAGAATGCTGAAATCTGGTGGCATAGTTGGATCAAATTGAAATTTTGAAAATAATAAGTTTTTATTAAGAAGATGTTGTTGATGGAGTTAAGGGTGGTAGTTTTTTTTTTTTTTTTTTTTTTTTTTTAAAAAGACTGTGGGTTTTGTGGTTAAGTGTTTTCTAGGAATTGTATAAATTTATCAATAAAATTTTGAGTTATATTATTTAAATTATTTTTCCAACTAATTTAAATTATAAATATCCTAACATTATATTTATTTCCTCTTTTCATATATTTTTTTCTACAGCTATATTTGATTAGTTTTTTCATTTAGTATTTTACTTATAATTTAAATACCCTAATTTTTTATTAAATTATAATTTTTAATTCATTAAAATTATAAAGAGAGAATCTTTTTATTGTTTTGTTTAAAAGTCTAAAGAGAGAAGCCTTTTATTATTTACATTCTTCAATTTGTCTAAATTTATAAATAATACTTCTGTATATTATTTATTGACTTTATAATTGTATCTTGGTTATTTTTTTTGGTGTTTAAATTTTTTTTTGAATAATTATAAAATTTATCAAGTGGCTTTGTAGTATCTTGACATTTAGCTTAATCTTATGAATAATAATTTTTAATCCTAAAATTGTTAAGTTGCTTTTTATTATGCTGCCACTTGGCTTCATATAATATTTTTTTCTCTCCTTTTATTATGTATAGATAATATAATATATAATACATAGACATCTCCTTTAATATAACTTAGATAATATAAATTTCTTACTTCGTCCAAAATATATATTATTTTATTATTTTGTATAAAATGTATCAATATTTTGATTATTTTTTTCTACATTATATGGATTAAGCAATTAGATTTTTCTTCTATTTTATTTTCAATTTAAAATTTTAATTTTTATATATTTTTTACTATATCGCTTGTAGTTGTTTCAAATTCAAATTAGACTTTTCTTCTATATTTAAATTCAATTCAAAAATAATATTCCTAATTATTAATAACACATATGTATAATTTATTTATTTTACAATTTAAATTTAAAAAGACACTAATTATTAACCTAATTAATTTTGTCCTAAAATTGCTAAGAGACGTTTTATTATGTTATCACTTGATTAGGGATATCAACCGCCTTTTAGTATTCGGTGGGTTTGAATGGGGAAGTTGGAGGGTATTATGGTAACGTCATACAAACTGTAGATGCCGAGAAGTACATCCATACCGAAACGTCCCTGCAGTGTAGGCAACACACTCATTTTTGCACAACACAAGTCCGCCTTTTTTTCTTCCTCTCTCTCTCTCTCTCTCTCTCTAGGGTTATGGTTTCTTAACAGCGTTATATTTGAACCCTTGAGAGATCAAATAATGGTGCAGCAAATCTCCTTTTTGTGTGAAAAGCTCTTTAATTCAATCCGTCTTCACTCCTTCAGCTCAACTATGGCTTGATTCTGCTCTTCTCTCGGTAACTTTTTATTTTATATTTTGTAGTCAGTTTTACGGTGTGCTTCAATTGGTGTTTTTATCTTCTTCTGTGGAAATTGGCTATTTTAAACTTTTTGCATTTAAGAATATTAAGTTCCAAAATATATTTATTTGCTTATTGCTTTATTCTTAAGCTGCTTTACCATTAAGTCATTTTGAAATCTGGGTGTCGAACTTTGTGATTTTTTCACTTGTGCTTATTTGAACATTGGAGTGCTGCTGATATTTTGAACTTATTAATTTTCTACTCCATTTTTGTGCTTTTTTTAACAAAGATGTGTTTTTCCTTTCGTTCTATGGATTAGTCAAGGTCGTGGATAACTTGAATATTTTTGCAATTTGAATTGTGTGTGGCCATACTGGAGATTGATAAGCAAATTGTGTTTGGATTTTGAAAGAAAGAATGATATTCTCTCCTCCCTACTTTTTGTTTTATTTTGAAACTATACTGTCAGATTGGCACAATTTTTATGCATTCTATTTCTGGTGAAGGTGGCGTTCCTGGTATGGAAATGTATAATGTTCCTGAACAAGGACATGCAGATGCTTATATGGTAAAGTTTGGGCTACTGATCACTAATGGACTTTCTTAAACATCTTTGCCTTTAACATGTCCGGTGACATGAATTGCTCATTTATTCTTGAATGTGGTGTTTTGTAATGATAGAAGATTGAATCCTTGTTTTAACAGATTCAAGGAACGGAGCCAATGCAGATCACCAGTCCGCTGCTTCAAAACTTTGAAACTATGTACAATGAAGAACTGCCCGAGTTTGTTGTTGATCAGGGATTATATTATCCTACTACCACCAATTATGGCTACCTCTGTACAGGTACAGGATTGCTTAAATTCCATTTGAGATGACATTGATTGCCTCAATACACTCAATTAGAATTATTTGACTTTGTTAGGATTTGAATCGCCCAGCGATTGGGATGACCACCAAAGAATTTTTGGTCTGGATGGTCAAGATATTCAGTATATGGTTAGTTCATTTTCAGTTTTATGTCTTATTAAAAAGTAATTTCTTCAATTTTCCTGTGGTCTCTTTCTTAATTGTATTTGCTAACATCGTGTTTATTTCCATTTCAGGGTGCACCAAATGAAAATCTCCCATATATGTATTATACACCTAACTATGGATATGCAGAGTCTCTGTTCAACCCGTACAACCCTTACATCCCTGGTGCTGTAGCAGGGGTTGATGGCTCATATTTAGGAGCACAACAGTACTATGCTATCCCATCATATGAAAGCAATGTGTCTTCTCCTTCGTACTTCCCCGTGGTGCTACTGAATACATCTGACGTTATGGCGAACAGAGCAGGTACGATAGTTGAAAGTACCGTATCTACGGCTAATAGAGCTGATGTTTCTCGTCTCAAGCATAATTTGTCTTCAGCATCTCCAACCTTCACCCCAGCTCCATTTAAGCCGGCTTCAGGTCATAATAGTTTTAACAGAGGATCTGGAATTGCAAAATCTAATGGTAGATCAGGCAAGCAGCCTATGATGCATGGAAATGTTGCTTCTGATAGGTTCTCCATTCAATCCTCGGAAGTACATGCTGTAAGGATTTATCCTAGTTAGTGATATTTCCAGTATTGTGTTTTGGCTTTTAAAAGAGAGGGTGTTCCCACGGATTTATCTGTGTTGCGGAAGCCGAATATATAGAGAGGGATTAAATCACAACTACTATATCTAAATGGTAGCTAATAAATAGTAAATGAGACAATAATAAAAAGTAACACCAGAAGTTTACGAGGTTCGGCAAAATTTGATTTTCTGCCTAGTTCTCGAACACAATCAACTCAAACTTTATTTCATTCCAAAAATGCAAGTGAAATACTACAAGAGAGAAAGAAGACTCAAATGCGTTATGAGATAAGAAGACAAATGAGAGGTGTTTACAAATGAACAAAACCCTTGCTATTTATAGAAGGGAAATGGCCTTAATAATGTCATGCATGACATCACATAAATTGTGATCATGCAATGTAAATGCATGAAAAATGCATCTATCAATTTCCTCCTAAAAGGAGACTTCCAAATATTCACACTAGTTCACCTTAATCTTGTCAAATTTAACAAATCTCCAACTTGACAAGATTTCACTCTTTCAATTTTCTCTCACTGATAAATTTTGATTGTGTCTTCAACTTCAATCTTCCAAGTTCAACAATGTTGATCAAGTTCAAACAATGTTAAAACTTAATCGCAGTCATCACTTTTGTTAGCATATCGGCAGGATTGTCCGTAGTCCGAATTTTCTGCACCATGACTCCACCTTCTTCTATAATATCTCGTACAAGTGATATCGAACATCAATGTGCTTCGTCCTTGCATGATAAACTTGGTTCCTTGCTAATTGGATAGCACTTTGACTATCACAAAATAGTGTGATGTTTTCTTGACCAATACCAAGCTCTCTAAGCAACCCTTGAAGCCAAATTGCCTCCTTTACAGCCTCCGTAATTGCCATGTACTCTGCCTCAGTAGTAGACAAAGCAACCATTGACGGCAAAGTAGACTCCCAACTAACAGGTGCATTTGCAAAAGTGAAAACATAACCAGTAGTTGATCTACGCTTGTCCAAATCACCTGCATAATCCGAGTCACAATATCCAACCAGATACTGATTATCTTCCTGCTCAAAAATCAATCCAACATCTACAGTATTACGAATATACCGTAGAATCCATTTCACAGCTTGCCAATGCTCCTTTTCTGGATCATGTGTATAACTGCTTACAACTCCGATAGCATGTGAAATATCAAGTCTTGTGCAAACCATTGCATACATCAAGCTACCAACGACATTCGCATATGGTACTTTTGACATATACTCTCATTCAGCTTCATTCTTCGGCGACATAGCATCACTAAGCTTAAAGTGAGGAGCAAGCAGAGTGCTAACCAACTTCGTGTTCTCATTCATAACAAATCGATCTATTACTCTCTTCAAGTATTCTTTCTGAGATAGACAGAGTTTCTTTAAATGTTTATCTCTTTTTATTTCCATGCCTTGTACCATTGTATAGAAGATTGTTTCAATACGTACAACGATTTTTGAAGTTCGCACACCATATTTTCCTTTCTAGCAACTTTGAATCCTTTTGGCTGAGTCATGTAGATTTCCTCTTCCAAGTCCATGTAAAAATGCAATTTTTACATCTAACTGAACTAGTTCCACATTCAACTGTGCTACCAAAGCCAACAAAACTCCAATGGAGGAGTGTTTCACGACTAGAGAAAACACCTCATTATAATCAATTCCCTCCTTTTGAGCGTATCCTTTGGCCACCAATCTTGCTTTAACCAAGAACATCTTCTTGGTTAGGAAATCCTTCTTTCTTTGCAAATACTCATTTGCACCCAATTGCTTTCTTTCCCTTTGGGAGATTGGCCAATTTTCACGTGCGATTCTTATGAAGGGACTGTATTTCTTCATTCATGGCAATCCTCCACTTATTTTGTTCGGAACTTTCGATTGCATCTTTATAAGTGGTAGGAACACCATCAACTACAATTGAGGCTGCACAAGCCACTATCTCTATGAGACGAGCAGGTTTTTTTATTATTCTTTTTGGCTTGCTGGTTGATATTTTGATTCAAGTTGTTGAGGTTCTTGAGTTGGAATCTCCCTCTCCACTAGCTCTTCTTCCAGAGGAAAATCTTTTGTTGTTTCCTGGTTTTCTCCCTGTGTTGGGAAAATTAATTTTCTCTCGAACTCCACCCGTTTTGAAGCACCATCAGTTTGTTTGACATCTTCAACTATTACCTTATCTGTTATGGCAGATTCATCAAAGGTAACATCTCTATTGAATATAATTTTTCTTGTCTCCAGAAGTAATCCCCATAAATATAACTTTCTTTGCTCTCGGATCCAATTTTGATTCTTTCACATGATAATATGCAATTGAGCCAAATACATGCAAAAAATTATAATCTTTAGTAGGTTTTCCATACCATTTTTCAAATGGTGTCTTGCCACCAATAACGGCAGATGGTAGACGATTAATGAGGTGGCATGCATATGTTATTGCCTTAGCCCAAAATTCTTTGCCTAGGCCAGCATTGGACAACATAAACCAAACCTTCTCCAGCAAAGTCCGGTTCATATGTTCTGCCACTCCATTCTGTTGTGGTGTATTTCTGAAGGTGAAATGTCTCAAAATCCCATCATCTATCTTTCTGCCTGTTTGAGTCTCTATCATCGCCTTCCATTTGAGAAACATTCCCAACACCTCATCTTTGGTTTTCATCGTATACACCCACACTCTCCGGGAAAAGTCATCAATAAAGGTTACAAAATAGTGTTTCCCACCTAATGAAAGTGTTTTGGAAGCACCCCAAACATCAGAGTAAACATAATCCAAAATACCTTTAGTATAATGGATAGCTTGTTTCAAATTTAACCCTTGTCTGTTTCCCCTTGATATAATGCTCACAAAATTTCAAATTGCAAGTCTTTACACCTTTTAACAATCCTTGATCTGATAAAATTTTCAAGGATTTTCCTCCAACATGTCCCAAGTGCATGTGCCATAGCTTGGTTGCTTCTTCCTCCTTGTCATCACTGGATGTCAATGTTACTGTCCCAATAACTGTACTACCGTGATAGTGGTACATGCTATTGTTTCTCCGAATTCCCTTCATTACCACCAGTGCACCAGAGCAAATTGGTCCGGCAGGTCAGACCAATTTGTTAAATTTGACAAGATTAATGTGAACTAGTGTGAACATTTGGAAGCCTCCTTTTAGGAGGAAATTGGTAGATGCATTTTCCATGCATTTACATTGCATGATCACAATCTATGTAATGTCATGTATGCCATTATTAAGGTCATTTCCCTTCTATAAATAGCAAGGGTTTTGTTCATTTGTAAACACTTCTCACTTGCCTTCTTATCTACTAAGGCATTTGAGTCTTCTTTCTCTCTTGTAGTATTTCACTTGTAATTTTGGAGTAAAATAAAGTTTGAGTTGATTGTGTCCGAGGACTAGGCAGAAAATCAAATTTTGCCGAATCTCGTAAACTTCTGTTGTTCCTTTTTATTATTGTCTCATTTACTATTTATTAGCTACCATTTAGATATAGTAGTTGTGATTTAATCACTCTTTATATATTCGGCTTCCGCACCAATCTATTTATATTCTCATTCCAAAATTTGTGAATTTATTATTTTTTCTCTTTAATGGGAGTGTGGCCCTTGGATCGCTTCCTGAGTTCATCATATCTTAATCCTTGGACAGGGTAAACTTTCTCAAGCTACAGGATGTGTTATGCATGGGAAGGTTTTGTCTAATCATGTTCAACTGAGAGCTACTGTTCCTTCGAGTGGTTCGTTTAATCTTGGATCTGATGCTCATGAGCGGGCTAGTGCAGGAAAAGGTGGATCCAAGTTTCTGTATGGGACAGTGCCAAATGATGTGAAAGTTAGATCTGATTCATTGAACGAACAGAATCGAGGACCTAGGACCAATACATCAGAAAATCAGTTGGTTGTTAAGGCCTACACAACAAGAGCAGGGAATGTTAATGCACAAGGGAATATTGTTATTCATGCTGATGAGTACAATAGAGATGATTTTGTGCTGGATCTTCTGAATGCTAAGTTCTTTGTTATTAAATCATATAGCGAGGATGATGTGCATAAGAGTATGAAAT